ATGACCGAAAGCCCTATTGGCCATCACTTAAAGCCCGGCCTTAATCAGTCCGCTCAACGCATGAGAGCCTGCGGAAATCGCCGACACGCATCACACAGATGTGGGCAGGTAACTGCTGCTTGTCAGGACTTCTGCACTACGCCGCCCGCTGTTTGGAGAGCTGGGTAAGACTTACTAAGATTCAGACCCCAGATTTCAGCGCCAAACAGGTTGGCAAATAAAAGAACGGCCAACTCCAAGTACGTGGCACGTCAACGGCCTTTGAAACGCAAAGATTAACACTGTAGTTTTCCCCAAGAACTGCTCTGAGGAAATTTGCTAATTGCCTGCATAGGCCCAATTTAAGGGAAAGAGCTTTGGGGCTAAGGCCAGGCAGCTTCTGCAGATTGTGGGGCTTAAAGGATCTAGAACCTTGACTTCAAAGTGCCAGTGCTCCGGGCTCCTGGCTTGATCTATAGTCCCCCTTAAGTAGATGGAATACAGGATATATGGGGATCCTATTATAAAAGGCCCAAAGCTATATTCTATCTACGTAAGGGGGATTATATTCAACAGTTCCTGGGGAGGTTGTATGAAGGCTGGCAATAAAGCCTCAAGCGGTGAAACGTCGCCACGCCATGCAGCTCCGGGAGTCTGAATAGTTTCAACTCAATTCACATAAGGGGGTTTAGGGTTTAGGGTTTAGGATTGGTTTCCCAAAATTAGGGGACCTACCATAATGGAGAATCAAATGGAGAAGAAAATGGAAAATGAAATGGAAACTGTGTTTATGTAGGGGATTATAGGGATTAGGGTTTCCCAAAATTAGGGGTACGTTTTTGGGGTCCCCATTATGAGGACTATAGTATCTTGGGGTCTATATTGGGGTTCCCTATTTTGGGAAACTACCATAAGGGTCTTGCAATACCAACCTTGTGGTTTCCCTTTGGGCCAAGTTATCCAGACTGCACATCATGCGTCTGTCTCTTCCTCTTCCTCCTTGCAGGGAAAGGGCGCTGGGAGGCGGAAGTGAGGGCTGGTGGGCAGGAAGTTCGTGCATACACTTTGGATTCCTCTGCAACATGAAAGTGCCCAAGCTTCAAAGAACACAATTTTTTCATTGGGCCGGAACCCAAGCTGAAAGCTCATTTCCGGCGTTTGTTAATTTTGCGCTTGTTCCCGGCTGTGCAGAATGCAGCGGCTTTGCTTCATAGACATCACCATGTACCCGACAAGTCCCTATATGGATCTCAATCCCAAGTCTTACCCTTGCAGCTTTGTAGATCTATCTGCGTTCTGCAGGTTACAAAAAAAGACCTCAACCTCTCATATCTCTTCACCCGCAAGCCTGATTCCCCGCCTGCTCCATGCCTTGGCCCTTATCACCGCAACTCAACAGCCCTCAAAATTCGAACCCCCAAGCTGTAGTCATAGTTCAGGCGAGCCCGGCCCTGATTTGCAACCGAAATGAGGCATCATGTTGTGTCCAAATTTCCCAAAATTAGGGGTCCCTTTTTGGGGGTCCCTATAACAAGGATTATAGTATTCTGGGGTCTATATTGGGGTCCCCTTATTTTGGGAAACTACCAAATTCAAAAGGGGACCCTCATCACAATCTGATATTGCTTGCGGATAGGGCTCCACCCACTTCCCGCAGGGTCTGCATCTGAAGCATCGCTTAGCATTTGCCTTGACAGCATGTAGGTGTGGGCGGTCGGGCTTGTCACTGTAAAATTTTCACGCGCTGGAGGGAACCTTGCGTCAGGCAATGTCATGCATCCTCTTCTTGTTCTGAATTAGCAGCTAAGATCCTGCTCATAATCTAAAATGATTTCCAAGCCCAGAGAATCCCTACCTAGCCGAAAAATTCCAACAGCACCACTCCAGGATTTGAGGTGCAAAGAATTGGTTTTTCCCAAATTAGGTGTACCTTTTTGAGGGTTCCTGCAATAGGGATTATTGTATTTTGGGGTCTGCTTTCGGGTACGCCGGGTACGCTATTTTGGGAAACTACCAACTAAAAACTTCCCAGCCTTTGTGACAGGCTCTGTCTGCGTCCCGCGGCTTAGCCTTGCATGTGGGCAAGTCTCAAACCATGAGCCGTTCTTGAAGCCTTCTTGGGTAGCTTCTACTATGGCTTGGGTGCCCAAATTCGTAAGAATGCAAGCACGAAACCTAGACTTGAGGGATCCTGGGATGTGGACTTCTAATGACGCGGGCTACGGTCATCAGAAGAGCGAAGCAAATGACACAGGACCATTTAGGAACCTGCTTGCGCTTTGGCTTGTGACGAGGGCTGTTGTGCAACGAGGTAAAATGTTTCGAAGTTTGGGCAGGCGACTAGTCATACATAATCTAGCTTTGGCGAAGCCTGGGCTGGTGGTTGACATATTGCCGAAAACCATCTGACTACGCGCACCTGGTCTGTGTGAATCAGGGTCCGCGCGCCACTTGAGTTTGCCGTCTCCAGGCAGCAAGCGACTTCAACAAAAGCATCTGTGCTGCTCTAGAGTTCCAACTTCAGGCTGGAAATCACAAAACGTGAACGACCCATGTGAGCAGAAAGTGAAGGTGAGTTTGTAAGCAATGGTCCCAGGTCCTCGTATGATTCAGTGCCACGAGTACTTTGGCGGATCCATCGGTTTTGAGTGTCTTCGTGGAATCTACAGATGAAGGTATCACTTAACTTCGGACCACGTACACCAAACGTTTCTTCTGAAGATCGAGTACATGCATCTTTTCATTTGATTGGGGATGAGTTCTATCGCGTTTGGTTTTTGGTCGCAAGTTTTAGCTGTTCACGGCAATCCTTGTCATCCCTCATCCACAAGTTTTACCGATTACACTGTGTTTTCTTTGCATGCTGAGAGAAAACTGCATGAACATGCGCATGGCGCTGAAGTCCGTCCACTTTGAGAGAGACCATGCCACAGAATTACTGCTCAGGCTGTTCCTTATGTGGAGCACCCACCCAGTAATAGCGTTTATAAGGGATGCTGGTGATTTTATTAAGGTCCTCTTACATTGACACTATTACAGGGTGGGGGGTCCACCTAAGGAATTCATGTAGGGGCCTGCATTGCAATCATCATCATCATCATCATCATCATCATCATCCTTCGCAAATGCGCGTCCGACATGCGACGTAGCACGTGATTGCATTGGATGGCTTGACAGGGCCTAGCCTGTGTATTGCAACAGGAACTACACTGTGGGGACCCGCATCTAACAGATTTAGGGTGTAGGGTTTAGGATTTGAGCTATAATCTAAACTCTAGTATCCCCCTTAATAACCCGTATAATAGACCCCTATATAATCCCTTCTATAACCCCCTTGAAGGAGTTTAGACGACAGCTGATTTAGGGTTTCGGCTCTGAGTTTAGGGGAATCCCCATGTACCTCAGCCTGTCACAACCGCTTTATTCTCAAAAGTTGCTTCTGGAGTGCTCTTCATGGCTTGAGCGCGCAGGGCTTCTGTGGCAGGCTCTGTTACTTTCCTTCTGTAAGGCTGCCGAGGTGAGTCGTGCCTGAAAACCTGAGCGGAGTAGGTCTAAGCTGTTGATATAAGCATCATGGGCACTTTCATGCCGCTATACCTAGTATCCCTCCTTAGTAACCCCCTATAATACTCCCCTATATAACCCTCTTTAAAGAGTTTAGATTAGGGCTCATAAGCTTCAAAACTTGAAAGGGCACCCCTGGTTTGTGGAAACTATTACTATTACTATTACTATTACTATGACTATGTCTATTTTTTTTACTTCTTCTTCTGCTACTACTTCTTCTACTTCTACTTCTACTTCTACTTCTACTTCTTCTTCTACTACTACTGCTACTACTACTACCACCACTAACCCAAATCTTTGTAAACCCCTGCAAAATCCTCCCCACTCCATTCTCCATTTTATTTTCCGTTTGAGTCTCCACTAAAGATAGGGGCTAGTATCCCCCATCAACTGTATGAAACCCCTTTAAAATCCATCTATAACTGTGTGTAAGCCCTATAAAACCCCGAAATAGCCCATGTGGTACCAGGGCCCAGGAGCGCATTGTCCCCGCAAGGCTCTGCATCTGTGGCATACCTTGGACTCGCCCGGGCATTCAAAGCTTGAGGCATGCATCATCATCTTGGGGTTTGGGGACTTAGCTCTCGTATGATCATGGAAAAATTTTCGGTTCGGCCATCGGCCAAGAAGGAACCTTGCAGGAGCAGGGCACCTACTTGCGATAGGCGAAAAAGCTTAATGGATGGTCACGAACATACGAACCCAGAATAAAGGAGCTTGGCTTGTAACAATGGTAGGGTTGGGTTGGAAAACTCCCTGATTGATTCTGCAAAGAGTAGGGCTAGGACATGCTACGACATGGGAATACCATTCAGGAGGTTCGGTCCTTGAACAACCGTCTACGGTCAGTATA